GGTCATCAACATGCCACACAATGGTGCATTGATTGCCATTTATGATCTTGTTTACGGTGCATGGGTCATACGGATTGAGCTCAAAGCCCCACTCCTCAAGCTGACCATATAGCTTTTCCCAGAACAGTAATGCCGCCCGCAATGTTCCATATATTGCCTTCTCAGCTTTGGTGAATAGTGTCTTCTTGCCATTTTTGTTCACCAGGTATTTTCGATACATTTTCGGATTAACTCTACACAAGAGTTCAGCCATTGTCCCATCAAGTCTGATATACACATTCTCCCCTTCCGGCATTGGTGTTTGTAAGAAAGCCCCAGGGATGTCTACTGTTGCAACATCCCGACCTTCAACCGCATCGATAATGCATGATAGTACCAATGCATACAGCGAGACAGTTGGTGATGCTGCATCCTCCTTTCGGATGTACTCGCGCTGTCTTCTTCCATCGGCACAGCCTCTGCCCTTTATTGAGGTGTCCCTCTTCCTCTTCAAGAACATAAGATATGGCAGGGCTTGTGCAACCATCTCTCTTGTTACATGCTTTGGGTCCAGGGCTGACACCACTCCTCTGTCATGCAGTTGCTTCAATTCCTTCAATACTGCTTCCACTCCTGCTTCACCGAAACGACGGATCCCTTCTTTTACCCCATACTGCTTGGTTGCATGGGTTGCTTCAAGGTTGTTGTAGTTCGCAATCGCGTTTGCCACCAGCATTATACTTGCATGCTGTTCACCGAGCCGCTGTACAGCTCGCACATACCCTGCAGTGAAAAATGACCTGGTGTGAGTGGTAGTTTCGAAACCATCACTTGCATTGAATTTGTTGTGGGATTTTGTCACGTTCTTCCGGAGACGAGAGCTTATAGGCTCCACCACCTCTCCTGTGTCCGTCGGCTCGTCCTGCTCCTCCTCCGGTTGCTGTCCTTCATGCTCTTTGACGTTGGTGTTGCCCCCTGCATCTGCACCATCATTGGCTACTTCTTCGGCCGGTGCCTCCTCCGTCACCACCCCTACATTGTCCACTGTCTCCACCTCATCCCTGACCTCTGCATCTACATAATTACTGAGTGCTGTATCCACAGAGTCGCCATCAATATCATCATCCTTGTATGTTCCATCAGAGGCATCATCGTCGTCCATAATTGGCTCTTCATCCAAATCCAAGATGGTAGTATTCCCCCAGGCATCCCCAAACGACACACCGCTGGGCATGTTCTGCCCTTCAGCAATTTGTGTCACCTGCTTGAGGATTGATTTGGTGAGTGGTGTTGGTGTGGCCGATTTGCGGTGGATCCGCTTGCAGCTGTTTATGTCAAAGGCATAGAAGCCCCCAGTAATTGACCCGGTTGGCCGGAGATACAGTGCATCCACTGCACGTGCTTTCATTGTGTTGTCTGTGTCATCGACATGGGCCAGGATGGGCTCCATGAACTGGAATTTGCAGTCCACTCCTGCGTTTAGGGGCACTCCTGTCATTATCTCCCTAATGGATGTTGTCCTGTGCACTCCCACTGTCCGACAGTTCAGCCAGTATGTTGCTGCATAAATCAGTTCAATCAGGCAGCGTTTTGGTAGTTTCTTGAAGGGGAGGTGGCTCACATAACACCTCACAGCTTCCTTCAGGGTCCGATTGCTTCGCTCTATGGTTGGCTCATGCTGTCCTGCTGCCACACAGTGTAAATCCACTGGGGGGGACAATTTTATTAGGTCCTCTCGCAGGCATTCAAACTGGTTGTCACCGCTTACCTGTGTTACGGTGAATCCCCTGCTCTTATATTGTCCTATTAGACTTTCGAGGCAGTCCAGTAGGGTCTTTTGCTTCATGTTGGTGATTGCTCTGGATGTACGGAATCGTAAGTGCCGGGATATAGAGTGGAAAAACTGCACACCATTCACTGTCATAATGTCTACATGGATCATTACCTTCCCATATCTCTCCAGCACACCAGCTGGGACTGGTGACACATCCTCCCGGATGTGCTTTCCTTGGTTCCGGACTGTCTTTCCTTTTACAATGCTTACATGCTTGCCGTATATCGCCTCTGCATTTAGCACATCGCGTCGAGTCACACCACAGTTGGTTACCAGCTTGTCCTCAATCATCCTGATCAAATCCTTTGAGGTTGGGAATCCCATAATTTCTTGGAGCTTCCTGGCCTTGATAGCCCTTCTACAGTCAAGATCGGAGAACTCACTCTCTTGGCCTTCTACAGTGGTGATGGTGAGTACTGTTCCACTGGTCTTCGCAAGGTCACAGTAGTACAGGTTACACTTGGACCTCTTGAATCGTCGTGTTCCCCCCCCCCTGGTCTGTGCACATACAGTGCATTATCGCAGTCTGTATCCATAGTCACGCGGAATCGATCAGATACTAGTGCCAGGGAGAGCACGTTAGCTATTCCCCCTTCATAGAACCACACCTCCCCGAAACCAGGGAGATCAGCGATCATATTGGTGTGGGCAATGCCGGAGTTGCAGTATATGTGCATCACCTGTCCGTTTGGTGCTTTCCTGATGTTCTGCAGGAGCCTTGGGTTCACGATAAGGTTGCATGATGATTCACTGTCCAGTAGGATCCACCAGTTTGGATTCACCCCACCGGCAATGTGATTTTCTCGCTGTGCAAACATCCGTTCCACTCTATCACTGTATCTGAACGAGGCCGGTCTGGCTGTCCCATCATCCACACGCATCGCACTCTTTGGTTGGCTCATCTCTTGTTTGGTCACCACTCCTCGTTGAAAGAAACAGGTCCCCTCCATGTCCCCGAAATCCTCGTCACACTCGACTGCCCGCATGAGCAGTTGGTGACTAGTTAGTGGGATCTCATTGGTCTCATCCTGGACACTGTTGTCGTCATCACCATCGCCCGGTGTTGCGATTGTGCCTGCTGTAATGAATGTTGTGGCCTCATGGTGGGTCCGTCCTCCTCCTGACTTTCCCCCTCGTGTATTCTTGTTGCTTCCGCTCTTTGCTCCCCCTTTTCTGCTCCCTTCAAACTGGTTCAACATGTCCAGGGCCTCTGTTGGGGTTGATGGGTAGTTATTCATCCCGAGTGTATACTGGTTCTCCAATGTTTCTTTGAGCACACTGGTGTTTTCGTTACTGCCTTCTATCAGTATGGTGGCCAGGAGTTGCTGCTTTGTTGATCTGTCAATATTTGCTTTCCTGGGGTCATCGTATGGTAGGGCTTTGTACTGACTGTACGTGATACCGCCGTGCTCATTCCCATTGGTCTCAAGTTCATACTTGATGAAAAGCGGACACAATAGATCCCCTCCAATAGCTTCCAATACCGCATACTGCTGGGTGGTTGCATCTGAGTAAGTTATCCCGTCATCCACGCGTTGACGTGAGCATACTAGCTTTCGTATGGCCCTCAACCCATTGGTTATGGGGTGAACCTTTGTTTTGTTCCCTTGGTAGCATATATCCCGCAGTAGTGTGAGTAGTCCAACAGGACACTTCATTCTGCTGATATCCTTCCACTTGTCTGAGCTTCTTAGCTTTTCCTTCATTGCTTTATCGACCTGGCCAAGTGCGACTGCATATAGCTTTTCCATGTTGTGAGTGTATGTAGTGAATGTTTTGGCTGACTCCTTTATCTCCTCATTGTACATTCTCATGAGTGCATTCTTCATAGCTGCTATTTCCTTTCCCCCGCTTGACCAGTCCTCAGGGTTCGGCTCTCTTGGCATGAAGTCAATTCCCTTGAATCTCTTCAGTAACTCAATCGAGGTTCCCACCTTGGGCATGTATTTGGACCCTCCTAGCGTTTCTAGTCTTTCCTGCAGTTCTGTAAACTGTGTCAGGCCTCCGTTCGCTGTGAGAAAGATGCCCTCGATGCTTCCTCCATTGTGTCCCACGAACTTCTTCATGTTGGTGTTCGATTCGGTGTTCTTCTTAAATGTTGAGTTGTATGTTGATTGCATTCTTTGCTTGGGTCTGTTCTTATGTTCAGTCCATTCATTTTCTGTCACCTGTTGCTTTTCGGTGCTTCCGTCCGGGGTCATCTTGTCTTTCCCGGTCGTTTCCATGGTTCTTGTTATGGTTGGTCGACGTGTCGTCCCTCTTGCGAGCTCCCCTTGGGTTGCTCTGTTCTCCAGGCCCTTGGGTCCTGTGCTGTGTTGCGGTTAGTTCTTTCAACCGCGTTACAGCAGTATGTAGTGATACTTTTCTAATTTATGTTGATTCGATGTGCACGTTGATGTATGCCTACGTCATTGAACATACAAAACCTTAAAGAGAAAGGTAATAAATGTATGAATTCTTCCCTATTGGTTAGATAAATTAGAAAAGTATGGGAACATTCAGAAACCCTTGAGATTCTGATGGCTCCTCATACCTTTGACGTGAGGTTTTTTTTCCTCACAACACATATTTTATAAATCTCGGTATTGGTGGACGCGCGCGCGAACGTCTGTCCCTCAACAGTCGCCTTCATTTTTTGTATCATGCTGACATGAACGTTAAAAACTACGAGTACTCGTATCGTCAGTATCAGTGGCTTGAAGATACCAAACCCAAAAAGTCATTATGACTACGACTACTTAACTCTCTCTTCACCGAACAAGGTTCTGTGAAGTATGGCACCGTACTGTACAGAACAATGCTGTATTTTTGTTCACTGCTTGTACTGTAACTCTGCTTCACTAGCTAGCTGACGTCCTTTTAGATCCTCTACGGTAGGGTACCGGTATGTAAACACAAGTTTCCTGAGTTTCAACGGTAGATTTTTCATTTCGTGACACTTGGGTTCTTTTCGTGTCTCCACGGCTCACTTGTTATTCTGACTTRTTCATTCTTATTCCGGCGCACCGACCCGTACAACTTAATCGTATGAAGAAASTCTTACGATCCGACTAGACTAAGAGTACTGTACGGTACGGTTCAGTACCTTGAGGTACTGTGCAACTGGTTGCTTAYCCTATTTCTGTATTGAGAAAGAGCGGTTACACCCCAGAATGGGACCCTTCACATGAAAAGTGACTATTGAACATATCACGCACACRGAACAATCTTAACTCTAGTCAGAACTGCTGTATTTTCAAACTCTGGCCGCTACTACGTCACCATCACTAACACGAAATAGTAACAGTGTCGGTACCATATTTAATAAACCGTAGTTTGTTGAACAAGCCTGTTTGCTTCAAAGCCGAAAAATATCAACAGAAATGATTGCTACGCATTCTTGCTCGATACGTCTAGGCCGCGTGGCCGCCAGAAAGCTAACGACGAATAACATACAACGAGTCCCATGCGCATTGTTGGGATCGTTTGCGCCGGGATCGGCGTCATTGCCATCGTCGCCATCTCGCCTCTGCGAAAGGAGGCTGCACACATACCAGCCCATGGATGATCTGTTCCAGTCTTCGAAAGACCAAGGGCACGTCGTTATCGGACAAGACTTTGTCGGCAAGAMAGCAAGCATCAGACGGGTCTTCGGACCTGGAGCAAACGCCCAGGCATTGCTAACCTGTGGCGGAGAAGAATTGGCACAAAATGCTTCCTTTGATCCGAATTACGAGATGTCCAAGGACTGGATTAGATCGCGGGCAGTAGGACCAGCAGTCTTGTCGTCGACCCTTATTTCCGGACTTGTTGGGGCCTTGATCGAAGCGAGCTTTCCCCAAACTGTGCCACAGAATGCTTCGCTCAGTTTTCTCCGGCCGTTGATTGTTGGCATGGAAGTTGCGGCCTCAATCCAGGTGGAATCGATCAGCGAATCGAAACGGGACGACAAAACAACCAGTGGGGCAGCGAACGGATCCGCCGAGAAAGGCTACGAAATTCTACTGTCAACCCGGGTGATTCGTGTACAGGACGACGCCGTTATTGCCGAAGGTTACAGCACGGTCTGGATTCCTGGTTGTTTGTAGCGCAATAGAGCAGCATGATGATGTGCCTTGTACATTCTTTAACAGCCTGTAATTTTTAAAATTTTATTTTGTCAAACRCAAACGAATGAGCGCCAGCAAACTATAACTCTCTTTGTTATTTGCTGCGTCGTTGATGATGGTACCAATGCTTTGCGTCGCGCCTCGTATTGTGTGACTGTTGAAACTCGCTATGAAAAGTCTACGGCATCTTCAAACAACCAAAGTTCACTGAACTGCGTGGAATTTCTTCTCTATAATTATTTGTATATTATGGTGTTTATTTTCGTTGTTGTCAAGCACCGGCAAGGATGGCAAGTTGATACAGTCGGAATCATAACTTGAGTTTGCTGTTTCCAATAATGRCAGGCACAAAGACATGCTCTATGCAAGGACAACCAATCGATCTAGTTTGCCTCTTCCAACTCCGGTAAATCGTCCAGATCATCGTCGTCACCCTCGTCGTCGTCGTCTCCGTCCATTCCAGGCATGCCTCCCAAGCCCGCCATATCACCCAAYCCTGGCATGCCTCCCGCACCGCCACCCATCGCACCCATTTGCTTCATCAATGCCTCCATGTCCATGCCTCCGGCTCCGCCCATGCCGGGCATTCCGCCCATGCCAGGCATTCCACCCATGCCGGGCATTCCACCCATGCCCATACCTCCTTCCATGTTGCTCATATCAAATCCCTCTTCTTCTTCGTCTTCGTCAACGTATCGATCCCAATCAATCTTGACCTGGTTTTTCTCTAGCGCCTTGTCCTTCAGTAGGCGGGGCCAGAATTCCTCCTCTTCCTTGTCTTTTTTCAAAATGTGCATCTGAACCGATCGCGGCAGAACCTTGTACGTAGACCCTTCTGAGTCCACTTCCTTCATAAATTCGATGTCGATTTGGTAGGGTTTGTCTCCGCTGGTGCCCTCGAATGTCAGTTTATCGTCTGTCAAGACAATCTTTTCGTCCTTGACATCTGAAGGTGGTGCAGTGCGTTGCACAGAAGTTAGAAGTGGATTGTGAGAACGACGATGATGAAAGAAAATGAGTGAGTAAACAGTCATGCGAGCGATTACGTTTGATGCCGGAAGAAAATAGTTGCAATCGATTGCCAATCGTCAACGATGCGACATCARCGATCCATTGACAAAGGTCCAACCAACACAATGGAAACCCAGCGCAACGAAACGCACCTGGCAAGGCAATGGTCAAATACAGAGAATCCGACCGCTGAGCGTATTTGATAGGTGCTGTGTTCGGTGCCATGATTATTCTTCGTATTTGTTGTTGAAGYRGATGTGCGAATGGTAACAAAAATTGTAACGTTTAATGACAACRGTGACTGCGGTTTTGATTGTTCTAATGCCTTTACCTCGGTGGAAGCACAACGGTAGGATGATGAGAAACCTAGAGCTCCTATCAACCGTACGTGCGATACTACTTCGTAGGATGTTTCAATCCTGAACGAATCATAAAAAATCCATGTCGCGCCCCCACGATAGATTTCGTTGGAGTTCTCTTTCCGTCGTGACAGGAAGATGGACAGACCCTTGGACGTTGGCTTTAAGGATTAGTAGAGTCACGAATCCCCATTGTTTGCCTCAAACGACCAAATAACCGCTCTAAACCTGGGCACGAATGGCAATTCCAAGGCTCAGCTGTCAGCAAAGAAATGATTGGGATACACAACGTCTACGAGTATCCTACGCTACCTACTGTACCATACAGAATTTCATTTCCTACGAACTTGAAACTACGACGAAGCATCCCGCACCTCCATCACTATTTCTAACGGTATCAACATTCCAGMAGTCGTCGCATAATATAACGATGATATGAAATAAGAATAATATGATGAGCACCAAGCGACCAAGAGCGCCCCACCTGCATTAAACTCTTAAATCAAACATCGCAGTGTTATGTAGGAATCGATCTCAATCGATTGATATCATTGAGAATTCAATGGAACCATCGACCGTGAATTGCGACTCGAGACACGCAATTGACATTATTATTTTTTGCTTCGTTCAAAGCGACTTCACACCGCCATTATTTCAATGAAGGAGTCCTTGGTATTCTCCGGCTCTAATATAGTCGTAATTCTTGATTCATTGAGACACTCTACCGAGGAATTGGACAGAAGGGTATTGAGATTGACGGAATTGGTTTGCGACGAAAGCATTTGTGACGAGGATGTCCAAGCAATACAACAATTACTTTCCGAGCACCACTGTGTTATTCATTTGTCGAAGTTGGAACTTCCACGCAATGGATTAACGTCAAAGTCTGGACGTTCCCTTGGCTCCATTGTATTGCTTCAGCACGAAACATTGAAGTGTCTGAGTCTTGCACACAATCCGTTTGCTTCCATAGGTCTTGATGAAATGCTAAAGCCTCTGGTTGCGCATCCTGCAACTGCAACCAACCTAATCCACTTGGATTTGACCAATACACAATTGGGAAGCAAATGCGGTCCTCTCATTAAGCAGCTACTAAGGAGATGCAATTCCATCCAAGAGTTGAATCTTACCAATAATTCCCTCGGTCCCAAGGGAATCAAAAGTCTGAGTGTCGAATTGAAAGAAAATTCGGCACTAAAGATTCTGAATTTATCCCGAAACAAAATCAAAGCGAAAGGAGCCRCTTTGCTTGCTCAGGCTATTGGGGATCCAGAAAGTGCCAGCGCTCTAAAAAGTTTGGATCTCACTTGCAACGCCATTGGTCACCTCGGAATGAACGCGCTCTCACGAATTTTGGCTGTCAATCGAACCATTGAGTCCTTATACGTCGGAATGAATAACATTGGCCCGGAAGGAGCAGCTAACCTAGCGATTGCAATCAAACGCAACCATACACTCCAAGTTCTGCACATTGAAAATAATAATATCAAATCAGACGCTGCATGCCTGCTCTTCGATCAACTTCGAGGTGATCATAATCGCACCGTGGAAAATCTCAACCTRGCCTGGAACAACATCGGAACAAAAGGTGCGAACCACTTGGCAGAGACATTGAAGAGCAACGGCACTTTGACRAGCATAGACTTGACACACAACCAAATTGGATCCGATGATCTGCTATTATTGATCGATGCTCTTTCGTACAATTTTTCACTGACCCACTTGAATGTCTCGAGCAACCAAATCGACGACCGCGGAGCTCAGGCAATTTTTAACGTACTTTGTGACCCAAGGCCTCGCGCGCTGCAATCGATTACATGTGAAGATAATCCAGACATATCCTTAGMGGTTCTCGTGTCCCTATCACGAGTTCCACAAATTCGTCGAAATCGAGAGCACTGGTTGGACAAGCTGATTACCAATCTTATCGGGCGCAAAGTTCATRGTATAAACTTGAAGA